ATGTGTGTGTGTGTGTGTGTGTGTGTGTTTTGCAAGTGTAGGAGTACCACAGAAACAATTTTACTAGACCACATGTAATCAGCTGTCTGTGGAATGCATGAGAGATACTTACTAAGAATATGTTTGTATAAAACACACAAGGCTGGTCTAGAAATATATATTGGTCACATATTGGATATATTTATGTAATATGATATATATTGTATATGTTCATTTAATGCAAGAATTGTGCATCTTATTCTATTGTAAAATTTATTATATATTCTACATAGCAATACAAAGCAGCTATGTTGTGCTTATGTACCTGACATTGTCCTAGGCTCTCTAAATACATTAAACTCTTTCAATCCTTGTTTAGCACAATGAGATTGGCACTATTATTATCCATATTGTACAGAAAAATAAACCAAGGCACTGAATGGTTAGGTATCTTGCTTAAGGTAAAACATCTAGAAGTGGCAGAACACTGCATCCAGGAAGTCTGGCTCCTGAGAATGTTCTGTAGTATTTGTAGTTTGTCTCTGACACCCACCTCTCTGTGTCTGTCTTCTGTAGGTGTATATAATACATCCATTGATAACATTAAAGTCCACATTAGATTTTCTCATTTTTTTCTCATGTATCACAGATTTTTTAAATTTTTTCTTAGAATTCAGAATTGGAGAAAACATAATGTATGTTATATACTGAGAGAAAGAGTGTCACCAGGAAAAATCTATGTGGTTGATGGCCCAGAGGTCTCCCAGGTGGCATTTCCTTTCTGATGAATTTAGATACAGCCAGAGCTTTGGTAAAGGAAGGACACCCAGCTCACCTGGGGCTGACCTCGGAGTCAGCATGCTAATTGGTTACTCTATCAGAATGCTTCTATCCCTTAACCATAGTGATTTCTTCTTTCTTGGCAATTTCTTTGTTGATACTAACACATTATGTTTTGAAACCAAGGTAACTTTTCCTATTCAAAGAAAGCTGGGTGACTGACTTCACATGAATCCCAGTGGGGGTCGGGGGGGGCAAATATTGAACTTGCCTGTGCCTCAGTTTCATTTGTAAAGTTGGGTGAATCCTAGTTCATTGGCTGTGATGATGATGCAAAGAGGGAACAAATATGAACTGCAGTATTATGACATAAATATCAGCATTCTTTGGCCACTGCTAATGATTAGTGCTAGATTTTCAAATCAGACACTCACAAAAATGATGTCAAACCTGATGCTTTTGATGAATCATTTAACACCAGCTCCCCACAACTTCCCATCTACTGAAGCACACATCATTTGTTCAAAATCAGTTTTCCAAAGGAGGTGACTCTGGTGAAAAATATTTACGAAGGCTTTTGTCTTGAATTCTAAGATTTTATGTTTATAATATTTTATCATGTCACTTAGCTTTTAGTCAAAACTTTTTTCCCTCTTGTCGTGTTTTTATGGATGGCACTTTTGCAGGTACTTACTGAAAAAAATCCATTATTTCCTTATAAAAGTTAATTCCTATACTGTATGTTTGCAAATGTATTATTTATCTTTAAAATATACATGTGTATGGATACATTGAATATTTAGGAGTTTTTAAATTCCTTGCAGGGAGAAACTATTCCCTTGTTTGTTATTTTAAGCATCTATTAACATTAAATGTAATTTACTGAGTTCTGTAAAGGCATAGTTACTGGCTAACTTCTAGTTGATTACATAAATAAAGTGGTCATTATTTGAATACGTTATACTTTATGATGCTTGATGATATTTTAAAACCATTTTCAGGATGAAAGTTCAATAGAAAGTGACGAATTTGATATGAGCGATTCAACACGAATGTCAGCTGTGAACTCTGATCTTAGCTCCAATCTTGAGGAAAGAATGCAGAGTCCCCAGACTCTTCATGGCCAGCAAGATGGTAAGCGCTTCAAATACTTGACCAGTTAGACAAACAAATAAACTAAATAACAAAAAACATCAACAGGTCAGAATCTCTTAAAACAATAACCACCTTTTTAACTCTTGTGTCCATTTTCTAAAATCTGTTTGCTATGGGGACTTTTTTTTCCCCTGTGTCCTCAGGTGATGGCATCCACTTTGTTATTTTTAGATGTAAGCACTTGGTTCCAAACTAAAATGTGTTAGACTGATTTATAAAAAGATGTCTCTTATAAAAATCCAAGAATATCCATCTATTGCTCCCTGCATTTAAAATGTGTTTTACCAATGCAGTGTAGGTTTCTGTTATAATGTTTTTCTAGCTTCAGTTTCTTGGGACATCATTTTTTGACTGAAGAGTTTAAAGATAATTAAAAGATTCACTTGGGTATTTTTCTCTTACCTGAAAGACTAGATATTAAAGGAAACTTTTACCGAGTAGTTTTGCTGAACAAGAAGATAGTTTACTGTGATCTTTCACCTGTTTTATTCAGTTTAAAGGAAAGGAAAGATATTGATTTCTTATTCCTGAGTCCATTGAAGATTCCTAAATCATATAATATTTTTGATTAAAAAAAAAGAAGCTGAATAAGATACACAAAGTAGGTATGGTGGTTAACACTTTAGGCTTGATATTTTTATTAAAAAGCTATCTTTGTAGATTTTTATTTCTGTAAGTTTCAAATTATGTGTGCAAGTAAATATGTCATATCTGGGTAAGTGTGGATAAAAATGGTTATACATAGAAGAAAGTTGGTTGATTTTACTCAAAATGAGTTAATTATTTTTATAATTAAGAACTTTTTAATTATTTAATATTGTCCTGTATCTGAAGATGGGGAAATTATCTTACTTTGTTTTCTCTGACACTTATTTATTAAAAGCTTGTTGTCAAAGATTGAAGTATTTCTAGTTGGTTTTGCATCATTTTTATTAGTAAGGCTGAAGATATTTTATATCTCAGCATAAAAATTCTCAAAAAAAGGGACTTGTCTGTTTTTTGCTTTTGGTGATTCTAAAAGATGTTTTATTGGCATGAATTATGAGAAATGAAGGGGTGCATTGGTTATCACTGACATTCATATATCATCCTTGATATGCAGTACAATAGTCATTGTAATAAAAAAGGCTTATTTTTCGATAAAGATAAATTTTTTTACATCTAAATTATCTATTCTCTTTAAAAGCATAAGTAAAGGCCAGGCGTGGTGGGACACAACTGTAATCCCAGCACTCGGGAGGCTGAGGCAAGAGGATTGCTGTGAGTTCGAGACCAGCCTGGGCTACATAGTGAGTTCCAGGTCAGTTTCAACTACATAGTGAGAACCTGTCTCAAGAAAACCCAAAATTAAGTAAATAAGTAAATAAATAAATAAAGCATAAGTAAACATTCATTGGATTTTTAAATGCCAGTTTCTATGTGACACTAGAATCATGACACAAAATATTCAGTTATATAGTTGAATTATTTGCATATATAATTTTGGAGAATATATAGAATAGGAAGATGTCTATTTTCATGAAAACTCTTGTTTACTTGACAAGAATTGTCAATTGTGTAACTTTGGCTGGGGACTACAGACGTGATAAAAATACGTATTAACTTTAATAATATGCAGTGGAATAATTTCAAATATTACTCTTAAGGGAAAGCACTTTGTCATGATGGATTAATGGTAGTACAAATATATCTAGTTATTTCTTTTTCCAACCTTAGCCTAACCCTTCCCTTACATATTAGATATCTTTTCCTGCTTTTTCTCATTGAGTTTTCTCCTTGCAGTTATTTCTCCTCCAGCACCAAAGGTTCTCCCCATCCTACTGGGAGCAATTAATTTTGGAAGCATTAGAATTTATTCTTGTAATTCTAGAAGGTGGAAGTCCAAGATATACGTGCTACCAGACTATGTCTGGTGAGATCCAGCTGTCTACTTCCAGAGTGGCAGTTTGTTGCTGTGTACTTTAGGGAGGATAAATTTTACACCACTGTTTCAGGGTGGAAGGGATGGAAGGGGAAAGACAGGGGCAAACTCCTTTTGTCACGCCCTTCTATCAGAGAGCCTAACCCCATTCATGAGTCCTCATGACTCACTCACTTCCTACAAGCCACACTTCTTAATATGGTTGTATTCAAAATTAAATTTCAATGTAAATTTGGAGGCAAAATCATTCAAACTGTGGTAGGTTCCATGGTGCCCCTCTACCCCATTTACCTGCACCAACCCTCCAGTACACTTTACAGTGAAGCTCGCTGAAAGCGTTGGCCTCTCATTTCCTCTTCCTTGCCTCAGCTCCCTTTGGCTTCCTTCTAATAGGCTGTTTTCATCCTTCTTGAGAAGGGCACCGACAGGCTGCATGTTGCTACTTCACTGGAAAATCGTTAGTCATCATCTCCCCCAACACTGATGTTCAAGGAAAACATACCCTATGTTCTTTGTGGGCTTTCATTTCTCATTTTCTCAGTCCAATTGTGTGAGTTCATTTTTACCTAATTCCATACATGTTGGAGAATTACAGAATAGAATCACGTCTATCTATGGCTAGGCTACTACCTACAAGATGACATCAAATCATGTTGGTCTAATACCATCCATAACCATATGAGTTCCAAATTTACTTCTTTAGACCTTAACATTCCTGAACTCAGGACTATTGCTACCTGTCTTCTGTTAATATTCTTTCAAGGACTTAGTGTTGTACGCAACTATGTTATTTTTATTATTTTAACATTTCTTTTCTATTATTTTGGTAATTTCTTAGCTGTTTCTCTTCTAGAATGTAAATGCCACATTAATGAACCTTTCTTCTGCCTTTTTCTTTTATTTGCTTCACTGGAGATAGTGCTTAAATGCTCCCTTATTTAAATGATGAACTTAGAACTTTACACCATGTCCTAAATCAACTTTTCTTGTTGCTGTGACACAATACCCAACATCCACAAGTTAAAGAAGTGCAACTCACAGTTTGTAGGTTTCAATCTGTAGTCCCCTGGCTCCATAGCATAACATCTGGCCACAGGGGAGCAGAGAGGATGGAGCCAGAAGATAAGCCTTTCCAGCCACACCCTCAGGTACCTGACTCCTGACCAGGCTTCCCCTCCTAAAAGCACGTAAGCTTTAAGCACACATAAACCAATCACCTTCCAATAGTACTGCTTCTGAGTACCTGAGGTTCTTGGGAGACGATCTAAATATAACCCATGACACATCATAATTATGATTTGTAAATGAATTTTGCATATTTCCTTCATTTCTTTTCATCTTTTCACTGATAATGGCACTCCTCTAAGTAACTGATCTTGCCAACCTGCTATATAATCCTTATTTTACCCTGTACACACATACAATATATAAATATTCAGATGATTTTGCAGTTGTTGTATAATATTTTCTAGATCTTGCTTTAGTTGTCTCACAATACTTTTCTTTTAGAGCTAAGGGATGTATATATAATGTTAAAAGGAAGAAAAAAAATTACAGTCCTTGACTTCATTTAACACGTGATCTAAAGGAATAAAAGTAGCTCATCTGACCAATGTGAGAAAAATCCATTCTACTTTAAAAAGTAAGAATCTGTAGTAATAAAACTATTAGATTATATGTATCTTTTCCAAATTAGTAGGGACATTGAGTGCTAGGCCCAGGTTGGTAGGTTGTATTGCTTTTTGTAGATGATTTGCATTAATCTTTGGGAGTGGTTAAAAGTCAAGGACTTGTGATGGGAAAAATCTGACTTTGGACAAATATCCCAAATATGGTCTCAATCCAGAGTAACATAGACCAGGGTTTCTCAATCTCTCAATTTTGACACTATTGACTCATAATTCTTTGTTTTGTTTGTTTTTGAGGAGTGGATTCCTTTATATTTTAAGATATTCAGCAGCTCCCTGACTTCCACTGCTGCATGAAAATAACATCACACCACTGAGTTGTGACAACTGTTGTTTTTCCAGACATTGTAAATATCTGGGGGCAAAATTTTTCTATAAACCAGCAGGATGGAACTATAAGAGAGCGATGGAGAGACAAGTGGAAGTTGGAAAAAAGGATAGGAAGCACTTTCCATTTGACTTCCTTTGAGGATGGAAAGATTCTGTGACTAGACTAATACGATAGTCACTATCCACGTAGTGTCTATTCGGTGCTTAGAATTCGGTTAGTGTGACTGAGGAATTATTTTAATTTAATGCCATACAATTTCAAAGATTGTTAATTTAAATTTAAATGACCTGACCACATGTGACCAATGGCTTTTGTTTCAGATTGTGTAGCTCTGGAACATTATTTTATTTTAAATAAATTTACTGGGTAGTAAATTTCTTTTTTGAAGTAAGTCAGATGTTTCCCAAGTTTTTAGAAAAACTGTAGAAGAAACTTCTATTTCAATAATTGGCTTCATCTACTTTAATGCATTTAAAATTTGAAAAAAATACAATTTTGAAATTTACATTAAATGTTCTATTTTCTCTAACAATGGCGATTGATTTAAGATAGTTAAATAAATTTAAGTAGAAGATTGTGATTTTTTAAAGTTTTTCACACAACTAAATTATGACACAATTATATATAATGTCTTTATTGGGTACCATATAATAAGGTAAGGAAATAAAACATGTTCTCATTTTTTATTTCACCATTCTGATGAAAGATTCACAGTCTAATCATCAAATACCAAAGGATACTTTACATAGTGGGAAAAAGGGGGAGAAAAAAGGAGAATCCCTTGCCTTGGGCTGGATAATTAGGTAAAGGTCAATAAGATATAACCCAGAATGAAAAATTTATAATGAGAAGAATGTTACAAGATTGATGTATGATATTTAGCTTGTTTGACGTATTTTAACTTCACATTGCTTCCTTAACCCAGTAAAAACATAAAGATGATGACACATAGACATTCTTATCTTCAGATAAGAAGCATTTTGTCATCATTTTTGGTTTAGAGGAAAATATTAAACTGTATAATTTTTAATAGATGTGA